TTCCTCAGCTGGATGTTTCCTCAGACTGGATGCCTCTCAGCTGAACTGTGCTGCTCAAAAGCCTAAAAGCTTAACCAGCTCTAGTTCCTGGTTTTCACACCTTATATACCTTTCTGCTTTCTGCCATCACTTCCTGGGATTAAAGGCTCTTGTCACCATGCCTAGCTGTTTCCAGTGTGGCTTTAAACTCACAGAGATCCAGACAGATCTCTGCCTCTGGAATGCTAGGATTAAAGGTGTGTGTGCCACCACTTTATGGCCTCTATATCTAGTGGCTGTTCTGTTCTCTGACCCCAGATGAATTTATTAGGGTGCACAATATTTTGGGGAACACAATATCACCACAACAGTACAAGTAATATAAAAGAAAAAAGCCAAGTAAGATGGGAGATACACAGGGAGTTGGGATCCTGTATGTTACATTTTGAATGTGTGTTGATTTTGAAGTTTTTGACTGTTGATAAGCAAATAACAGCTGCTAAGAGACATGAAGTTGAAAGGGCTGCTGAAATAATCCAACCTAGATATTTTAAGAATTCCTTACCTTTAAAAAGGAAGCCAAGAAATATATTTGTCAAATGGAAATAAAGAATGCTTTGGAGTTTTGTTCCCACAGGAGATGAGAGGTTGTGGGTTCCTTCAGGAATTAAATGGATCAGGGAAGACCTCCTGAATCTTGGCAGGAGATATCTATCAACAAAGATTACTACTGGCCTTACCAGAACTTGGTCATTATCTCAAATTTTCTCTCTGGGACCCTGAAGATGCTTCATCCACAGACAGCAGAAAGCAGTCTAGAGAAAATGATGCCCACATTCCAAAGAGTTGGGGGGTGTGAGTGGTCTTTGGTTATTTGGTGGGTTATGGATGTTTGTTATCATTTAGGGGAATATAGGAATGATAAGATAATATTGTAGATTATTGAATCTATTTTAAACTAAAAAACCTTTAATCTCAAATATTTTGGATTTGTAAGGACTTTTGTATATTGATAAAAATTTGAGGTAACTTTTGTTGCAAAACATTGTATATATATTTCTACTCTTATTTAAAGGATTTTTGTATATTGATAAAAATTTAAGGTTGTTTTTGTTACGACATATTGTATTATGTTTTTTTTTGTTTGAGGTATTATGCCTATGCAGTTCATTTGGAAATGTAGGGTGAAGTTCTAGTTTTTGAAACCTATTATTATAAACTATATAGGATAATCAGGAAACATAGGTTAGTCAGTTATAACAATCAAAATTATAAATATGTTAGATATGCTTTCCAGATCATATAGAGATATATTTTAGATAGATAGTCTTAAAAACTTTCAAAGATCTACAGAATATGGCATTTAAAATGTTTTGTTAACTTAGGGCTTTTCATGACAATGAGACACATCTACTCCTGGCAGCACCAATTTACTTTAGAGATGATGGGCATCGAAGAAACTTCTTGTGGAGTTTTCTTTCAATGTGGGAAGGCTTGCCATTTAGTCAAGAAGCTGCTCTTGCCTGGACTGCTTGACAGTATGTTGTATAAACTGGACATGCAGGACCCACAGGAAAGTGACTGCTGAACTTTGCTAAAACAATGCAGGATGGTCCTTCAGGATTCCTGCTTCACAGAAGAAACTGCCAGACATTCTTCAGGACACAGAGGAAAGTGACTAACAAATTTTGCCAATATAGGTGGGACACTCTTTCAAATTTCCTGCTTCATTGAAAAGTCTGCCAGATACTATGGGCCTGTAGGTTGAAGATGGATGCCCCACCATTGCAGAGGAAATTTGGATGACTGTCCAGGCAGTCAGATGTTTCTGTCATCTAGAGTTGTTTGCAATGCAATTTTTGTTTACTTAAATTATATTATATCCCTCTGGGGCCTTTGATGGAGCTGAAGACTAGATAGTTATAGTTGCAGTTTTCCTTAGATATGATAGAAAGTCAATTAAGTATAAAATTTTGGATTTACTAAGATAGGATAGATTATGGAGTATTTTCTTTAACTTTACCAGACAAAAATGAATTGGAATTTAGTACATGTGAATGTAAGAAACAAAGAAAGGTATACAGAAATAGAGAATGATAAAAGCCACAAGGCCAAAGATAAACGGAATAATTTAAGTTAAAGAAAATTGTCTAGAAACAACCCAAGCTAAGGCCACGCATTTATAATTAAGAATAAGCCTTCTTGTGTATTTATTTGGGAGTTGGCTGGTGAGCCCCCAAAAGAGCAAAAACAACCAACAACACAAAAGCACAGAAAATATTTTCAAAAAAGTCACAGTAGAAAATTTCCCAAGTCTATGGAAAGAAATGTCTATCCACTTGGCAACAGGCCTACAGCAAACAAAATAGACAGTATCAAAAAAAGAGATTTCACGTGACACACTATAGTTAAAATACCAGAAATACAAAATAAAGGGCTTTGGAAGCTGCAACAGAGATAAGCAGAGTCACTTACAAGGACAGGCTCATCAGAATAACAGCAGGTTGATTATTCAATAGAAACATTTAAAGTAGAAGAGTCTGGAAAGATGCATTCCAAATTCCGAAAGACTACACCTGTCAACCTTGAGCATTATGCATAATAAAACTACACCTGTAGTTGAATGAGAAGTAAAAAATTTCCATGGTAAAAATAGATAGGAATTTATGACCTCTAAGCATCTCTGTAGAGGATTCTAGGCGTAATGCTTCAGTCTGAAGAGAATGAGAAACACACACAACTGGCCACCAGGGATAAATAAACAAGATCAGGAAGGTGGAGTTATGCATCTGTAAATAATCTCTCACCCAGCACCCTGCAAGAAACCCTAGTAAAGTGCAATGGGTTACAGGAAAAAAAATCATAAATGTAGGAAGACCAGCTTGTAAGAAGACTGGGATCAGTGGAAAAGAGAAGAAAACAAGAGAGGGTAATAGGGTGAGTGTAGTCAAAAGTTTTCTCAGATCCCACCTGGCCTCGTGGTCCTGTGTTCCTCCAGTCTTATGTTCCTCTGGTCCTGCCCAGCCCCAGGGTCCCTCAGGTGCTTATAAAATAATCATTCAGAGGCTTAATATTAATTATCAACTGTATGGCCTATGGCAGGCTTCTTACTAGCTAGCTTTTATAACTTAAACCATTTCTGCTAATCTATAAGTTGCCATGTGGATGTGGCATTACCAGTCTGCTGGCATCTTGCTGCTTGGGCTGCAGGCAGGCATCTCTCCAGACTCTACCTTTCTCTCTCTTTGGATTTCCTGCCTGCCTCTAAGCTGCCTCGCTTGCCATAGGCCAAAACAACTTATTTATTAACCAATGGAAACAACATATATTCACAGCATACAGAAAGACATCCCCCAGCAGGTGAGTATGATAAAAGTGCATTATAGACGTGCATGAAAATGTCATAATGAAGTCCATTATAATGCATAATTAACATTTGCAAAAGAGAAAGATATAATGATATAAATATACATTCTGACTAGTAAAATATTTACTTTGTAATATCTAGTTAATTGCATATTTATAATAAATAATATAACCTTTAGCAAAACTATTAATATAAGTTATTACTGATTTATTAAGATTAATAAAAATCTTACTATGACAATTCCGTTTCTTAATAGCTTTTACTAACAATATGTATATTGAATGCATGTATGATGTATAATATGTATGTTATGTATCTTACCATCACTATAATAAAATGCCTGACATGAGTCATTTCTGAAGGAAACAGAGTTTTCTTTGGCATGCTTGTTTGGAGCATCAGGTCAAAGATTGGGCAGCCCCGTGGTTTGGGTCTTTATAAAGGTGGCACACCAAAACAGAAGCCAAGAAACCATAGAAGACTAAAACACATCAGACTCTTTCATAACCATGGACGCTAAGGGCCTTTCACAAGGGCTCAGCTCTTAAAGTCCACAAAACTTCCTAGGGACCAAACTTTTGCATATGGAATTTTAGTGAAAATGCAAAGTCATATGAATTTAAAAGTACGATTTAAAATACTTAAATAAATTCATGTGTCTGAAAATGAAAAGTAGTGAGGAAAACTTCCAATCTATTGAAATAATAGAAAGCTTCCATGAGACCAAAAATATTGTGTAGCATATAGGAAGTCTGGCTCACCAAACATGGGGATTCCCGAGTCATGTGTATAGCACTTCTGCCTCCTGACACTCACAACTTTAGACAAGTGATGCTAATGTGACTTTTAGTGTCTTCTAAGGAAGATTCCAGAGAAGCACTCCATTCTAATGTCTAGCTGAAATTGCTTCTTCTGACACCCAAATCTGTTCCTTCTCTAAAATTTCCAAATAAATAAAATAGAATTAAAGTACCCATTGAATCTGCAGAAATTGTGTGTCACTGTAAGAAGTTGAACTGACTTGCAAAATACTATGAGGCTGATCTGTAAAATAATCCAGTGGTTAACATCTTGATAAAGGGGACCAGAGTTCACACAAAAGCTGGTAAGGAAAGAGGGACACAAAAGATGAAAAGAAACTCTCCATAGCTAACTTGTAAATATGCACATTGTGCACCCAGCTGTGTGCTATGTGTGGGGAGAATTCAGAGTCTCAGCCTCCTGTGAACAAATGTGTACTTGGTACAGACAAAAAAATAAAACAAAACTAACCAACCAATCAACCAACCAACCAACCAACCAACCAACCAACCAAACAACCAACCAAACAAACAACCAAACAAACAGAATTTAGAATGTGGTGCTGAGTCCCACAGTGCCAAAGTTAGACTTTGGAGAAAGAGAGGCATTTACCTACTAAAATAAAACAAGGTTTTTTTTCAGACCTCTCAGCCATTTCTCTTGATGCTTATCACCTACCTCATCATTTCCTCTTTTGTGGTCTGGAGTGAGAAGTGGCATGTTGTCCAATAAACTCCCTATTCTTGTGCAAGAAAGGAAATTCTGACTTAATTGTACAGAGCACATTAGCACACTGTGATATCAGCTCTGTTAGGGCTGAACTTTTAAAAACGGGTGAAGCATTCATCTGCTGAGACTCACTTTCTAGGGTTCTTTACTAAGTTGAGAGGAGAAAGAAAGGGAAGAACAGGGGAAAAAAAGAAGAATGTCTTCAATGAACTCATCTGCATCCTATCACACAGGTACAATCTTCAAGCCTTCCTTTGCTTGTACAGCTCTTTTATTAGAATGGGTATAAAGTTTGTTAAGGGTAGGACAATGGAAGAGTGCACAGTGAGATGGAAAGAGAAGGGAAGAAAAGAAGGGTCCTCAGGATTAGCAGAAAGCTTGCTGAGGAGTCCTGGAAGGGCTGCCACTCTGCTGTTTCTACCTTCTGTGATACTCTGAATATCTTTGAACAAGTCCTTCGATTCTGTGGAATTCCCTCTACCTGTCTGTAAATATATGTTGGGTAAAAGGGAACACCTGCTGCTTGACTGTTATGTTTTATTTAATTTATGAAGATCTTGAAAATGAGATGTGGAGAAGACAACAGTAGGAGAGAGACTGGAAAAGCAAAGGGGGAAATGAAGTAAAAGGAGAAGAAAAGAAGGAAGAAAATAAAGAGGGGAGGCCTTAAGGTGTGGAAGCATTTCAAATGGAGGAATTAGAAATGAAAAGCTCATGGTATACCTAAGTCCATGTCTTAACACCAGCAATGGATTACAGCAGGGGTTCTTAAGGTGTGGTTTCCAGACGGATTCCACACAACTCTCCTGAATTGTTAACTCCAAGGTGGGGCTGAGGCCCAGCAGTCTGCATACAACACGGATTCATGGGCAAGCCATCTCTATACAACGGATTCATGGGCGAGCCTGGGGATCACTAGACACAGGCAATTATGAATAGGAAGTGGCAAGGATAGAATTGACTCAAATCTCTTTTGTATGTTGCTTTGGGAAGATCCACCGTGTGTTTTATCTTTCTTCTTACAGAGAGAGGATGTTTCAAAAATTCCCAAGTGCTCTCATGGACCATGGCTGGGGCCTCCATCCTGTTTCTTAGTGTCTGTTTTGTCACCAGATGTGTTGGTGGGTTCTGAAAGTCAAAGTCACTCCATTTCTCCAGGGCTAATACTAGCAGTAGATTCTTGCTCAGTGCAGTGCATCACTTTTCCTACAAGGAGTTTTTTTTTTAAACAAATTTTCATATATGTTATACTTTATTATTCTTGACTGATTTTGTTTTTAATAGTTACACACACACACACACACACACACACACACACACACACACACACATATATATATGGTAATCCGATTACTCATTCTCTCACATCCTCTCATGTCCCTCCCTTCACTATCAATTTCCACATGGTGCCTTTCCCAGTTTCATGACTTTTGGTTTGGCTTTGTGACCCATTTAGTTTAACATGGGCCATCTGTATGATCACTATCGGGGTGTCCACTGGGGGAGGTAGGGTTCATCAATGGGGACACAGTTGAAGGGAACAATCTCCCTACTCTCTGAATCTATCAATAGGCAAGAGCCCAACAGAGGATAGGGCTTCCAGAGGCCCTCCTCCAACCATGCTGAGAGTGAATGGGCCTACTCTATGGCAAGCCCAGTGTGGTCACCTGCGGCTGCTGTTGGGTTAAGATTGTAACAGCTGTGTCAGGTCCAGAAGATGAAATTCCACAGCACTTTGCCTTATCTTCTGGCTCTTCTACCCTTTCCTTCTTCTGCAATGTTCCCTGGGCCATAAAGTGGATGGCAAATGTCTTGTTTAGAGCTGAGCACTCATCCATTTCTGCATTCTCCACCATTCACTGGAACATTCAGCAGAAGGAGAGACTCCTCTGATGAAGACCAAATAGTGTTCATCTACCTAAGGATATAAACACAGATATCTAGATGGCAACTTGACACTGGATTAATTCAGTTGAACAGCACTGTTCATAGTTAGGCCTATGATGTCCCCTGCAATGTGTTTTTGACCAGATTTATAGTGCTTTTTAATTTCATTTTCCTTCCTATTCACCCTCAAGGTTCAGGCTATTTCCTTAGCCAGAAACACAACTAGTCTAAAATCATATTTTAATTTCAGTCATCTCTACACATTTTTGTGATGCATATTTTCCATCCCCTTGGTGCTCTTGAGTTCTTCCTTTCAGACCACTGTCATTAGGCCAACTTGCTTGATGAAATGTTAACCTGCAGCTTAGATGACTGGTCAGGACCAAAGGCACAGGAATTTGCTTTGTGGATGGAAGATTTTTAGATGGTTAGACTTGGCATAGGAGGGACTACAAACATACTTTTGATCTGAAATAGTTTATTCTTTGTTAAGTCAGGAAAGCCATGAAATGTGAATTACTCTTTCTTTGAGGAAGTGGATCCCAGTGTGAAGGGGAAAATAGGTGGTAAGGAAACTTCCTGATCACTGTTGGCTGTTGTGTTATGAGCAGAAAGCTGAGGGCAAGGATTTCATTACAAAAAATGGTATGAGGCATTGACCATAACCCTCTCTTCTTGCAGTAACATATCGCAGCTGTCTAATGTACGAGCAGAAAAAGTTACAGTCACACGAAACAGTCAAGGAGATGTCCTGCTACAGTGTCACATCAGGTACAACTGTCTGCCAAGTTGATCAGGAAAGTGTATACGACAACCTTATTTTTAGTTTCTTGATTGTCTTTGGAATAAGGAAACTATAGTGGGATTGGTCTCTGTTTTTCCAAATGAAATGATAAATCCTGTCTGCAGAGAGCGGGGGAAGGTTGATGAGAGCAGAGGGACAGAACTCTGGAAATGCAGGCGTCCTTGGGCCAGAGATCTCAGGAACATTACAATAAACCCTGACCATAAATTTCAAGTATACATCTAAATGAGAACTCTGAAAAAGAAAGGATTTATTGCCAGTAATGGAAGTTTTTCTTCATTTATCTGCTTCCAATATGAGGTGGAGGAGAAAAACATGTACAGAGAATTTTTAAATACCTAAGAAAAAATACTCAAATATTCTTATAGATCAGCGTAGTCCAAGTCATAGCAAAATGCTACTGGATGCTGGCAAAGCAAGTTACTTCTTTAAGCCACAGGGTTTTGGTTTTTTTGTCTTTCAATTAAGAGAGATTTAGTTCAGTAAATGTCAACAACTGAAATTTTATAGTTCTAAAACATTTATTGGGGTTCAGAGGATTGGTCAGAGTACAGAGCTTAGCCGCCATGAGGGTTTGCCTGGGAGTCACCCAGAGAAGACTCAAGAGTGGCCTTGCCTAAGCACACAAACATGGGTTCTGAGGCTACTACCTGACCCAGGTAAACTGCACATACCGCTGTATTTACTAGTCCTGATATCTAGAAAATAAAGATTCTGCTCCGAAGACAAAGTTGCTACTTGTGTTTATTGACACTGGAATTACCTAACAGTCTTAGAGAGCACGGTGCGGGCTACTAGAAAGATTCTAAGCTCGGGGCTCCCAGTGTTGGACTCCACCGGATCACAAGCCAAATTCCCCGACACTCCCTGAAGCCTCTCTCCTCCTAGGTTCAGTCAAGAACTGCTGTCCTTTGAACTGGAAACATTTTCAGTCTAGTTGTTACTTTTTCTCCACGACCACCCTGACCTGGCCATCAAGTTTAAAGAATTGCTCAGAAATGGGGGCTCACCTGGTGGTTATCAACACACCGGAAGAGCAGGTAATTGTTGAACGGGCTCCTCGGTGTGGAAGGGATGTTTTCGCTGATCTTTTCTCCCAAACCTGTGCCCAAGGTGTGAGCCACAACTGTTTGCCAAAGGAGTGGGCTGAGATGTGTGCTGCGGCCACTGTTTCACCACATGATTTGTTTTTAGGCTCAGCATTACGAGAACCTTTAAAGGCTGATTTATCTGAAGAGACCCGATATTAACCAGAAGAGCGGGGAGTGGGAGCTGATTTTAGAATAATATTTTGTTGACGAATACTTTGTATGAATGAGGGTAAACAACTATTACCCATTGTTGTCAGACTCTGATTAATTTCTCATGATAGATACATCAGATGTGACTGCCATTAGTTATAGACCAACTTTGAATGAATGACATAGAATCTCTTTTAGAGGCTAGAGGGTTTTTATCTGTTGAATTGTGTTACTTGTAATTTCTCACAATAAAAAAATTAGGAAATGGTCTTCAGTAATCTTACAGTTTTAAGATTGCTTATCTATCGTCTAGCTCAACTCTGCTTCACATCTCCTAAAAACTAATTACTTTCAGCATCTCTTCAGAACCAAGATAATTGATCACATTCTTCATCATTGTTGTTGCTATTATTGCCATTGTTATGTTCTCCCTCAGGAATTCCTTTTTCATACAAAACCCAAGAAGAAAGAGTTTTATATTGGACTGACAGACCAGGTGGTGGAGGGCCAGTGGCAATGGGTTGATGACACACCTTTCACAGAGAACCTGAGGTAAGTACATCCTGTGGGAAAATGGTTACATCAGGTAATCCTAAAGTGAGACCACGCTGAGGGGAATTCTCAGAATGGCTTTTGCTCCGATGATGCAAGTTCAGGTCCATCATTGGTGATACTGAATACAGGGAAGGAAATTGGAGGCACAGGCTCCTAACCCTTCTGTTCCCTAGGAATGCCAAAAGAATAGAAGAGGAATGATAGATGAAAATAATAAGGAAATCAGAACTGTAGCGTAGATTAAGTTATCTACAGTATAGATTTTAAAAAGAGTAAAGTTAAATCTTATGCTCTAAAACATAAGTAAGTGAAACATAGTGACTTAGAAAGGACAGAATACTCTTCTGATCCTACCGCCCTTCCCCTTAATAATGGCCTTGTGTCTTTATAACATCACATTTTAGAGTTTACAATTGGTTTTCATTATCCCTCTTTATTGAAATAATTATAGATTTCGGAGTCATATCAATGTTATTAATCTTTATCCAGCATTTGAAGAAACTAAATGAGGAAGGGAATGAGGGACCCACTCAGCTAACAAGCGGCAGCTGTGAGTCCAGGGCTTGGCTGCCCTGAGTCCTGAGGAGGCGTGCTTCACTGCACAGTGAATGATGCCCTAGGAGAACATGGAGGAGAGCGAGGGTAGCGTGAGGTAGGGGGACAGAGGCAGCGCATCTGCCCTGTCACCAGTCCAGGTAACCCTTACCATGACATCTCTTTCTGAGTCCAAGTCTACGGAGCTGCACAACATTATAGAAACCCAGGAAGATCCCACCAGCCGATGACATAGGCAAGCAGGTGTTTCTTTGTTGGTAAAAATGGATCTTATAATTTCACTTCACGAAAGGATAGTTAAATGACAAATATATAAGTTGTTTAAGGTGGTGACTCCTTTTCTTGAGACTGAAAATCTCCTGTGTTTCCTCTTCACAGTTTCTGGGATGCTGGGGAGCCTAACAATATAGTTTATGTGGAGGACTGTGTCACCATAAGGGACTCTGGAAATCCCAGGAAGAATTGGAATGATATACCGTGTTTTTACAGCATGCCTTGGATTTGTGAAATGCCAGAAATAAGTCCTTCGAACTAAATGCAATTGAACAGGGGAGACGTGATTTAAATGCGTGAGGAGAAACAGGAATGTAACAACACCCAAAATCCAACATGGGAAAACATCCATTATGGACCACAAGGACCACTTAAGTGTGTGTTACTCTAAGTAAAAGTGACTTGTTCCATTGTTAAAATCCCTAGTACTGACCGATGTTCTCGCCATAACCTGCAAGTCCTGTTTTCAGAACTTGTGGAATAATCCACTAATAAATGCAGCAAGAGAAAAGGGACTGTTCTTTTGACATCCATCTTGCTTATGAGAATTAAAATGAAAATATAGGTACAGAGAGAGTGAGTATGCAGTCTAGTGAAGAAGTCTATAGACTTTGGATGGTCACCAGATCTTCCTCTTCTTTCGACATCCAAGGATCTAGCTTATCTCCTCATGTTGTTAATGCATAGATCATGTCCATGTTCTCCAACAGCAAGGAAGAAGCATCTGTGAGTCTTGAGGCTTACTGCAGCTCAGGAGAATGGCATGGCCGTCAGCACATCTCCATAGGGAAAGGCCAAACTTCAGCTCCAAACAGACGGGTGGTCTAGTCCACTCTTCCCTGGACCTCCATTTTCTCTGTGTTTTCCTCTATCAACTGGATCTTGCCTGTGTTTGTATCTGCTGTTCAAATAGAACCAGAGTTCAAAGTGAGATTGCCCTTTAGAAGTTCAGTTTCACACTTTCTTGTCTCAAGACTTTCCATTTATCATATGATATTCTGTCAGTGAAGACCATGGTTCTTCCAGAGAGAGTCATAAAGAGATCTTCAGCAGCATTCACACGCTGGAATAACATGTATCCTTGAGTAGGGGAGTTTAATTAAACAAATCAATTTGATATATTAACAGTCTTTACAAGCATTTCAATTAGGCATCTTAACAATATGATTTTGAAATTAAAATCCTTCTTTTAAACACAAAGTCATTTAAACTAAAAGAAATCTTACAACCATACATTTGACTCTCTAATTCATTTTTAAAAATTATTTCTGTTTGAAAATTTCATGCACTGTATAGAATTCACTTTTAACAAACCCATCCTCATTCGCTCCACTACAGCCTGCCCCTAGCCACCTCACTTCCTTCCCCTCCCAGCTTCATGTGCTCCTTTTCTTTTGAAACCCATAGTGTCTGCTCAGTGCTGCTTGTATGCACTTGGGTGTAATATCTTCTATGGAGCATGGGCAGCCTCTCAGGAATCACATCCCGCACTCCACCTCCTCCAGCAACCAACCCTTGTCAATAGCTTCTCCTCTGAGGATAGGACTCCATGAGCTCCATGCCATCCATGCTGGGATTTGGGATGTCTTCTATTACCTTTATTGTGTTGAGATATGTCCCCTGTGTCCCTAGAATCACCAGAAGTTTTATTGGATAAAAAATAAAGCTGATATTAGATCTTACACTTATGATAATACTTGGAGAGGAGAAATAATTTCTAAAATTTTTAAAGAAAAATCAAAAGGTTAGATGTTTTAATTGTGGTAAACAAAGTCATCTAAAAAGGTATTGCAGGCAAGGCATTCCTAGAAATGATGTTTTTTTCTAGAGATAGTCCAAACAGAAGGCCCCAGCCTTCTGTACTATGCAGAAGGTATGGCAAAGGCTGACATTGGACTAATGAATGCAGATCAACAGGGGACAGACAAGGTAATCCTTTGCCATTGGGAAATGCCTTAGGGGCCTCTCATAGGCCCTGATGTCAACTTTGATTAAATAATTCCCTGTCAGCATTGGGGAAAACCCTCCACAGAGAAATTAAAAACTTAATGCCTGTTGTTTAAAACCATACTGCCCCGGGTGACAGAACAGCTTATTAGATAAAACAAATTTTTCAGGAGAGCATTTTGGCAAACTGCCATAAATGATCAGAGACAAAAGCTAAAAATAGAAATAAATGGTATTGAAATTGAGGGTTTGGTAGACACAGATGCAGATGTAACCATAATTTCACCAAATCTTGGCATCAAGATTGGCCTCTTCAGGAGATAAATGCTCAGCTTCTAAGAATTGTAACTTTATCTCAGATAAAATAAAGTGCAAGATGGGTTGAATATATAGGGCCAGAACGACAGATAGGTAAATTCAAACCATATGTAGCCAACATAGCAATCAATTTATGGGGACATGATTTGTTGCTGCAATAGAAAACCCAGATTAACATTCCTCCAATCTCAGAAACAAACCATAAAATAAAGAATGTTTCTAAGAGAAATTTTAAGAGCTATTATCAAGAGCAGTCACAGACCATTCAGGTTGTACATAAGCAGGGCACAACAGCTGGTGATCTTTCAAGGGTAACAACAGCCCTTCTTTAAAATGGTTAACTGACAAACCTGTGGAGGTGGAACAAGGGACTATGACATCATAAAAAATACAGACAATAGAATAGCTGGTACAGGAACAGCTAGATGCTCAATATATTGAAGAATCAACCAGTCCTTTGAATTATCCTGTATTTGTCATCAAAAAGATATCTGGAAAATGGAGGATGGTGACAGATTTAAGAGCCATAAATAAAGTGATTCAGCCAATGGGCTCTTTACAGCCTGGAATTCCCTTGCCTTCTTTATTACCTAAAGGATGGTCTATTATAGTTATTGATTTAAAATACTGCATTTTTACTACACTTTTACAAGAACAGGATAGAGAAAAATTTGCCTTCACAGTGCCTACTTATAATGACTCCCAGCCCTTTAAAAGGTATCCGTGAAAAGTTCTTCCACAAAGGATGTTAAACAGCCCCACCTGTGTCAATATTTCATACAACAGCCATTGGAAATAATTTGTAATCAGTTTCCTCAATCTATAATTTATCATTATATGATTGATATCTTAATAGCTGATTCAGATGCAGATAACTTAGAAAACATGTTTGAAGAGGTAAAGAGAATTTTGTCTTGTTGGGTATTACAAATGGCTCCTGAAAAGAATACAAAAACACAAAGAGGAGATTCCATTAATTACCTAGGATATAAGATTGGTTTACAAAAATGACAATCACAAAAAGAACAAATCCAGAGAGCTCAATTACAAACTCTAAATGGTTTTCAAAAATTGCTGGGAGATATGAACTAGCTACAACCTACAATTGGATTGACAACTCAAGAACTAAGTAATTTATTTCAAACTTTACAAGATGATAAGGACTTAAATAGTCCAAGAAAATTATCAACTGAGAAATTGCAGGATGCACATGTAGATCATTTGGATTCAAAACTTGATTATATTCTAGTTATTTTACCTTCTGTGCATTCTCCCACAGGAATTCCTATACAGAGAGAAGAAAATATTTTAAAATAGGTATTTTTGACACACAGAGTAAAAAAAATTAAAGACCTATGCAGAAAAGGTTTCTGAATTGATCTATAAAGGAAAATAAGACTTCATCAATCATCAGGAATAGACCCAGGAGAAATTGTGCTGCCTTTTACTAATGCTAAAATTGCCTCATTGTGGACAGAAAATGAACATTGGCAAAGAGCTTGCAGCAATTTTTTTTTTTTGGAGAGATTAGCAACAAATATCTCCAAAGAAAGAGACTTTGGTTTATAAAAAGAACTAATTGAATCCTTCCTCACACTGTATGGGGAACACCAATTTCTGGAACTGGCTACATTCTATACTGATGCAAATAAATCAGGAAAAGCAGGTTATAAGACAGGAAATTTAAATAGCGTGGCTCAAAGCCAGTATGAATCTATTCAAAAGTCAGAATTATATGCTATTCTCATGGTATCATTAGATATTCCTGTCTCTTTTAATATAGTTACTGATTCTCAATATGCAGAAAGAGTTGTTATCCATATTGAAACCACAGAACTTATTCCAGATGATTCAGAATTAACTTTGTTATTTATTCAATTACAAGAAATAATCAAAAATAGAATTAATCCCTTGTATATAACATGTACCAGATCCCATATAGGTCTACCAGGCCCTCTAGTACAAAGTAATAATGAAATTGATCAGCTATTGGTATAAAATGTGCGAGAAGCCTCAGAATTTTACAATGTTAATAGCAAAGTTTTGAAGAAAGATTTTTCTATCACTTGGCAACAAGCCCAGGAAATTATAAGGAACTCTTCTATTTGTTCTTTGTGTAATCAAAGTCCATCACCTGCAAGAAGTAACCCAAAAGGTACTCAAAGAAATTAAATTTGGCAAATGGGTGTGTTTCATTTTTCAGAGTTTGGAAAATTAAAGTATGTGTACCATACCATGGATACATACTCAGGATTTCAATGGCCAACTGCTTTGAGTTCTTAGAAGTTATGGCCATTATAGGAATATCTGTATAAATTAAGACTGACAATGCTCCATCATGTCTCTAGTAAAATGAAACAGTTTGTTGCATATTTCAACATAAAGCATATTACAAGTATTGTGGTGATATATTGTGTATCAAATAAAGTTTGCCTGAGGATCAGAGGATAGAGCCAGCCACTAGATTAAACATAAAGGCCAAGCAGTGGTGGCACACACCTTTAATCTTACACTTGGGAGGCAGAGATCCATCTGGATCTCTGTGAATTCAGAATCACCCTGGACTATATGAGATTAATCCAGTTTAAAGGAGAAACAGCAAGACAGTGGTGTCACACATCTTTAACCTCAGTACTTGGGAGTCACATGCCTTTAATCCCAGCTCTTGAGATCTCATGCCTTTGCTACCAGCATTTGGGAAGCACACATGCCATTAATCCCAGCACTAGGAAGGTTGAGATAGGAAGTGAAGTGGCTGGGCAGAGAAAGGTGTATAAAGTGTGAGGAGACAGGAACTTGAGGCTTTTTGGCTGAGGACTCAGAGGCATTCAGTCTGAGGATTCATGGAGACAGGACTGGCTGAGGAGTTGGTGAGGTGAGAAGTGACTGTGACTTGTTCCTTTGTCTTTCTGATCTTTCAGCATTTACCCAACATCTGACTCTGGGTTTTTATTATGAGACCATTTAGTATTCATGCAACAAGTATAGCACACAATCCTATAAGACAAGCAGTTATAGAAGGGTCTAATCATACTTTAAAAGATATGCTTGGCCATAGGTTTCAGACTTGGCTTTCAAGAGGAGCTGGTGCTATTGGCTTTGTGTGCTGTGCTGTGAGCCCTGCTGCAGGGAGGTGAGCAGAGAGCATGGCTGACCTAGGAACCCCTGACAAGAATGCAGTGACCTATAATGATGTGCATGTCGACATCACTCAGGAAGAATGGGCATTAATGGATCCTTCACAGAGGAATCTCTACAAAGATGTGATGGTGGAGACCTATATGAACCTCACAGCTATAGGTTACAATTGGGAAGATCTTGAAGTTGAAGAACATTGTCAAAATTCTCTAAAACATGGAAGGCATGAAAGACCTCATACCACAGAGAAATCCTGTGAATATATGGGGTGTGGTAAAGCCTTTGTATGTCATAGTCATGCTCAAAGGCATGAAAAAACACAAACTGGAGAGAAATCCTATGAAAATAATCAATGTAGTAAAACCTTTGCACAACACAGTCATCTTCAAAGGCATGAAACAACACACTTGGTTAAAAAACCTTATAGATGTAATCAATGTGGCAAAACCTTTGCTTATTGGAAAGTTCTTCAATTGAATAGAAGAACACATACATGGGAGAAACCCTATGAATATAAT